GGTGATTTCATTCTTTATCATTTAAAATACTTAAACAAAGCAATGATGATAGCTTCACTGAAATGAGCTATGATCTTAAAATCAAGAGTTGTGAATTATTGCAATTAGTTTTGGTTATTGTAACTGACTATTTTTAAATAAAGTCCAAATTTCAACAAGCATGTGGCTAGCTTGGCATTCAGCTCTAATTTAATAAAGCTGATAAAATAACAAACAGCTGTTTAACAGCACTTGAAAATCTCTGTTCTGGATTGATCTTTTGAAGTTTAATGGACACTGCAGATGCACAAGCATTATTTAAGTTATTTTTACTGGACCATATGCTATGAAGCATGCACCTAGATATCAGGCAGCTCACACCAAAGGACACAATAGGCTGAATCTTACATTCTGTTTTTGTCTAAGTGTCACTTTCATAGTAGGCGGGTAAGATTACAGCATGGCAGGTGGTTAGGGTGCTGGGTGGGTAATGTGGCAGCAGAAAGGTGTGGTAGGTGGGTAGGGTACCATGTTCTGTCTAATTTTGTTGACCACTGAGTGGACTTCCAAGGTCCATGTACGGCATCGACCTCCGGACCCAGAAGTCAATACGTCCCCAGGGGGCTGCGCAGAATAGCCAGAGCAGGTACATGGCTGAGGGTATATTGAGTGAACTGGGGCAGAGTCAGACGATGCCAGGCACATTTAGTAAGTGGAGAGGAGAAGGTCATGGTCAGCAGTAGAGTTGGGTCTGCAGGTTGGAGGGGAGTTTAGGAAGCAGAGGTCAGATGCTTGGGGAATGAGTGTTCCTGCAGGATTGGATGGGATTGGTGGGGAGTTGACAGTTAAGTGGCGGGAGGGGTGTATTACCTCCATGAGGTGGGTTCGGTGGGGTAGATGGTGGTGGGTGCAAATGGTTAGAGGTGAATCAGGCAGGTCAGTTTGATTGTTACTCAGGAGTTAAAGCAGGCTCTAATTCCTCTTACATTTCCTGGGTAACTAAAAAGCTAAGTCAGTCGGACCCAAAGTGTGTCTCTGGTTCTAACTCAGAGTTGGCTCCCAACCATGATATTAAAATACTCAATTTTATGCCTAAGTATCTCCATGACTTTGACCCTCTCTATGCCCATAGACTTCACCAGTCCTCTAATCTTCTAACCATCTTTGTCACCTTGTGTATGACTTCAGCTCCCTCTGCTTCACTCTTATTGGCTGTGCCTTCAGACTTCCAGTCTCAAAGCTCATGGAATTCACTCCGTATCCCTCTGTCTTTCTCTCAGTACGTTAAGCTACTCATTACAACCAGCATCTTTGACTAAACATTTGGTCAGTTGACTTTGGCTCAGTGTCAGTTATTATCAGACTATGTGAAATGCCTTAAGATGATTTTTTCTCCTGTTTCTGTTGCAAGCAGAAAATGTGGAGCTGAATTCTTTGAAAATTGAATATAGAAGACTACAAAATCATTATTTTCATCCACACAACTGAAGGCTGGACCACTAATGTATCACAGAAATATTCTGCCTGTGAAGCAAACATTTCTTTCACCTTTGTAAAAGGAAGGAACTTTCAAAACAGTCGTTGTTGACTTTCTCCTATGCAAGCAGCAATTCAGTGCTTCCCCTGGGCAGTACGTCCTCTAGATCTTCACTTTTTAATAGATGCGAATTATTCTTGAAGTCACTTGAGAAATTGTGCTGTGCAGAGTCACTTTTGCTTATGTGTAATAAGACTTGTATTTTCAATGCTGAGATCAATCAACATGAGAAATCATTGAAAAGAAAGTGCATTAAGGTTGATGGCACAAAGATTTATTTTACCATTCAAATGGGAAATGTGAAAAAGATATCAAGGGTAATTTTTATTGTCTTTGTTTTTGTTTCGATTTTAAAGCAAGTAAGGTCAAAAGCAGAATTTAGTAAGCAGCATATGTGTTTCTTTCAATACTTCTTGTAATGGTGGAAAGCTGAAGCCTTCTGCAAATGACCAGAGTCACTCTTCCACAGAAACACAAAGGTATCATCAACTCAGTGTTGAGTGCCTGATAGGTGTACTGCACCTCTGAAAGGAAGCCCATGCTATCACAATCACTCCATTCCTGAGATAGTAAGAACTGCAGATGCTGGAGAATCCGAGACAACAAGGTGCAGGGCTGGATGAACACAGCAGGCCAAGCAGCATCATAGGAGCAGAGAGGCTATGTGCTGTTTTCTGTGACAGTAGGGAACTGCAGCTATAGGCTCACTCCTAGCCAGGCCAGGCAAGTGGAAATCTGCAGAGGGCTGTCAGTCCTGTCATTGCTTTCCTGCCCACAGGGCTGTTTCTGTACAGTAAATCCTTTGAGACATTTTGAATGGGAGGGGTCAACTGAGATTTTCCATCAAAATCTTAAAACTTTCCGAATTTACCTGCCCACAGAACCACAGTGTGCTGAGCTTTTTCAGGAATACATATAAGGGAGGGGGATCCAATGGCCAATTTGAAAAACAAGAAATGAGAAGGGAGGTCAAGAATGCATTCATCTTCCTGTCTCTTTGTATTTGCTCAGGTTTGGTAAATGTATGCCCACTTCAACAGGTTGGAGATATTCCCTGGAAACTTAGGGCGGCAATGGTCAATAAAATAACAAGTCTCTGCTCTTTCTCCTCTTCACTGCTCGTGGTAAACACCCATCACCCTTCAGCCTGCTTTCAATACAGTTTGATGTACAAGTGCCACTCATGAGTTATATTATAGTGATCTAAGACACGTAGCTCTAACACAGAGAGATTGGCATTGTTGTGTTACTTCTCACAGTCAGTACATCAATATAGCTTCAAGAGATAGAGCATATCAGAATACCTTTAAGAGGTAGAGTATGTCAGCATACCTTTAAGATCCATGCTTAAGATATCATCACTGTATCATAGTATGGGACCTCAAGATATAAACCAGGATAACATGAAGCATGGCATACTGATGAAAACATACTGATCGTTGTAAACAAATAAGACTCATACGAGGCCAGACACTTCTGTGTCAAGGAGTATAATGTTTGTGTACTACAATGAGCTGTAATAAATTACTGTTACACTTTTCAATACCATGTTATCAACATTCCAGTTTTTGTATGATATGAGGGGATAACATAAGTATTGCCTCATCAGATGAGGATACTCAGTTGGAAGCATCACACATATCGAGTACAAACCTCTTTCTAATGAGAAAGTTATTACAATGTCACAATGATGTCACTGGCCTGATTTCCCTGCAGCCACGGTCCCTTGTCCGGTGGAGAAAGTTTCTGTTCACAATGATGCCCAGGCAGCTGTGGCCACAAATAATTTAAAAACGTTTCTAGCATCTTTGCTGATAGAATCTTCTGGTGGGGTTTGCTGGCAAGCCTTTGTCTCTGTGTGCCTGCTGTTGGCCCAGCTTCTCAATTTGTCGCTCCTGATAAGATCACACAGGCAGGTTGTCCTGACATCTGAGAATTGTTAAAGCAATAAAGTTGAGCCCTGTAAGTTAACCTTTACAATCACTGCGTTTTTCACTGACTGGATTGCTTCTTAAGGAGCTAGCAAAGACCTTGCAGGATGAATGGCCTCCTTCTGTGCCATAAATAAGTTCGTGATCTATGAAATAATGAATACTTGTCATAAAGTGATCTTCCTGAAGTATAATGCGGTAACTATGTTGCATTAACTCCAACAGTGAATATTTTATGTTATGTAAGGATTACAGCAGCAATTAAAAATTCTTTATAAACCCTGTCATACCTCCCTGGAGAATAACTCAAAAGGTTACATTATACTGCTTGTCTATGTGCCAGAACTTCATTATCTCATATTAATACTCTCATGAAATTACCAATGTTTTACTTGGCACATGGATTTACCTCGTATTATTTCCAAGCAGAATTGTGCATTTACTATTAAAGTATGTATTCCTTCAAAAATATTATAAATATAATTCTGCACATGTGTTTAATGGAAAAAGACTTTCAGTTCAATATTTTTAGGACCTTTAACAGTTCACCAATTTCTTCCTGTATCTATCCACAATGTCTGATCTCGGGTCAAGTACCAAAATTCTGAAAAACAAAGACTCCATTCAACTTCATTGAACATCCACTTACTTTGCAAACTTGGTGTGGAAGAGGGGAATGTTCCTCATTGTCGCTGCAACCATGGTGAGTACAGATTGTAAAATTCACTAGATATCACACAAGAAGTTGAAAATATGACTTGTTTGCTGTTTTAAAAGGCTTCAATTATGTAGATTTTTTAAAAATATTTTTTCACATTAATAAGTATGCTAAGGACCTAGATTTTTGATATTTTTCATCAGTCTATTAGGACATACAATGACATAATTTTGTGGCAAGTCGGACTTGAACATAGACTTTCTGCCTTAGTACTAGAGACATTACCATTGTAATGCAAGACCTCTCAAAATTTATAATTAAATTGACAGACATGTTCCAACAGAAATCTAGAGCAAGTGGGGCTGGAACCTAGACTGGCTAGCCTAGAGGTCAGGACACTACCTCTGCACTATATGTGTTTGGTCCAACTTGAATTTTTCAATGAGGGCAAATAAAACAATCAGACAGGGATCAGTTCACCTCAGGGAGCTGTTTCAAACATGAGACAGGTTAGGACCTTAACTGTCTGTGTACCTCTTTATGCTTTTGCAGCTTAGACCATATCAAGCCGGGCAAATCTTCCCAGCCCCTGAATACCATGGGCATGTAGTGCTTGTGATGAGGTCAGTCAGGAGGACCTCATAGAATAGGAGTTCCCTCATTGGGGCTGTTAATCTGGTATAAACAGGGCTGCCAGAGATCCTGTTCACTCTGAGAACTGGCTCTGAGGGAGCTGGATCAGTGTCAAGGACTCTCTGTGTGTAAATAAAGGGTGATTTGGTGATGGGATACTAGCCTCTGTGGAGTTATTTCAGGGCATTGGTTTGGAAGTTGGGAAACTCAAGTGAGATTAGCAATATGGAGATTCTCGATGTTGTAAACATGCAAGTGTTGAGCAGTGAGCCGAGAATCTTGCTAGGGACCAATGAGAGGCCTATTTGCATCCATTTGCTTGCACTAACATCTCAACACCCAATCTCACGTCATGAATATTCAGTTTCCCTGTCTCGCACTTACCAGATAGAAACTGGACGGAGACAATTCCCAACAGGAAAGTCCAAGTGGGTACATGATGACTCCAGCTCACCGCTGGCTCCTCTGGGCTTCCATCTTAAACAACATTCACCAACCTGTCAGGGCATGGTCCATGAGCAGCAACACCCATATCCACAGATATTGGCATCTGACATGTACCAGCTGCACCTCAAGATCCAGGCATATCTCCACTTATTTACAATACACTTCTTTACTCCACTTACACTGTGGTTCTGTATTTCAATGCTGCACTTTGAAAGACACCAGCACCATGCCAGGACATTAGGATCCCACAGTGCTGAAAGAGGCCATTCGGCCCATTGAGTCAGCACTGATCTTCCAAAGGGTATCCCACACAAATCCACTCCCGCACACTATTCCTGTAACCCCGCGTTTACCATGGACAATCCACCTAGCCTGCAAAACCTTAGACTGTGGGAGGAAACTGAAGCACCTAGTGGAAACCCATGCAGACACGGGGAGAATGTGCAAACTCCACACAGTCAGAAGGTGGGACTCGAACCTGGGTCCCTACTGCTATGAAGCAGCAGTGCCACCACTGTGGCACTGTGCTGCTCCCAGAACATTATGCACACTGTGACAGGAAATAATGGATTGGGCCAAGGTGTATCTCAGGGTTCTTCACTTGTTTTCTTAGTGCTCACTCATTTTGTACCTATTTCGACGCTCACAGCATCACTATGTTGTCTTACTTTACCTTTGTGCATTTTGCCTTCTCATTGATAGCTTAAGTATCCCAGTATTTTGACTTGTCTTTGGGTTCAGACCCAAATCCAGACAGCTTGTCCTCGTTGTCAGCTGCTTTAGGTCAAGGGGGTAGACATGTTGTTACGTCAATCTCACAATTCCACAGTGTGACAGTCTTGTACATAGCAAACACACTGAATGTGCTCAACTAAGTAGTCATATCTCAAAGTCTAAAGAGAGTATTTCTCAGTCAAATCAAGGGAGAGAATCTTCAGTCGGGGGTCCTGGAATAATCAGTCAAGGGCAGTATCTACTATCAGTCCAGGGGCTTGGACACAGTTGGACACTTGGGGTGAGAATCCAGGTCACTACTGATCAGGTCGTGGGCATGGTAAGCCCTGTGGGTCCCAGTTCGCCCAATGTAAATGCAAGTTATTGCTCAACTGAGTTTTTGTAACAGGTATTTTATAGGTGTACGCAGCTCGGATAAACAAGTCAAAGAAAAAGAAATGATCTAAGCGCCAATTTGGAAGTGGTTGGGAAATAGAACCCTCTCTATAAAATTCTTCATATTTCCCCAAGCACATGATGAGATCATAGGATTATAATGCAATAAAACGAATTGGTAGAAAACGCAAAACTCTCAAATTTATTTAATTCAAATCATCCCCAACTAACCCTGTAGAGTTTATCAACATAATTGCACTTTGTGGATAAGAACATATTATTTAGTGTTTTTCACTCTCTTTGCGTCAAATTGTCAACAATTGTGTTAATCTGGGACACTGCATGGTAGTTTTAAACCACTACCTGGCTGGAACAGTTTGTTCTGAAATGTTTACATTTCAAACAGTGATGACATTTTAAATTGAAACATGTTGCCACATACGTCATCCCTTTGACTGGTGTTTATGATGGTTGTAAAAATGGTGGTGATATATTTTCCACGCAATTATTGACTTTTATCATCCTGTGAACATGTGCTCATCGCCAACTTTTTAAGCAAATATTCTTGGTAATGATTTTAACTTTATTGCATTTGAAACAACTGTCAACCAATTTTCAGTTCATCAAGACAGTCCACGTTGTGCTCCTTCTCCAAATTGCTGTTTTAGTTTTATGCAACCAACTTCACAAGTGTCTCCAAAAATACTAGTCCCAAAGAAACTGCAATAAGACAAATATGAGGAACAGATTGGGAGACAGATTTTGGAAAGATGCAGAAGTAATAGGGTTGTTGTCATGGGCGACTTCAAATTCCCTAATATTGACTGGAACCTCCTAAGTGCAAATAATTTGGATGGAGCAGATTTTGTCAGGTGTGTCCAGGAAGGATTTCTGACTCAACATGTAGATATGCCGACTAGAGGGGAGGCCATATTGGATTTGGTGCTTGGCAACGAACCAAGCCAGCTATCAGATCTCTCGGTAGGAGAGCATTTCAGTGATAGTGATCATAACTCCGTGACCTTTACTATACTCATGGAGAGGGATAGGAGCAGACGGTATGGGAAAGTATTTAACTGGGGGAAGGGGAATTACAATGCTATTAGGCAAGAACTACGGAGCACCAATTGGGATCAGATGTTCACAGGGAAATGCACAACAGAAGTGTTGAGGTTGTTTCGGGAGCAGTTGCTACAAGTACTGGAGAAGTTTGTCCCACAGAGGCAAGGAAGGGATGGTAAGGTGAAGAAACCTTGGATGATAAGACATGCGGAACATCTAGTCAAGAGGAAAAAGGAAGCTTACTTAAGATTGAGGAAGCAAGGATCGGACAGGCCTCTAGAGGTCTACAAGGTAGCCAGGAAGGAACTGAAGAATGGACTTAGGAGAGCTAGAAGTGGGTATGAGAAAACTTTGGTGGGTAGGATCAAGGAAAACCCCAACGCTTTCTATACTTATGTGAGGAACAAGAGGATGGCCAGAGTGAGGGTAGGGCCAATCAGGGATAGTGGAAGGAACTTGTGCGCGGAGTCAGAGGAGGTAGGAGACGTCCTTAATGAATACTTTGCTTCAGTATTCACCAGTGAGAGGGACCTTGACGTTTATGAGGACAGCATGAAACAGGCAGATATGCTCGAACAGGTTGATGTTAGGAAGGAGGATGTGCTAGAAATTTTGAAAAACATGAGGATAGATAACTCCTCTGGGCCAGATGGGGTATACCCAAGGTTACTGCAGGAAGAGAGGGAAGAGATTGCTGCCCTTTGGCGATGATCTTTGCGTCCTCACTGTCCACTGGAGTAGTAGAAGATTGGAGGGTGGCAAATGTCATTCCCTTGTTCAAGAAAGGGAATAGGGATAATCCTGGAAATTACAGACCGGTCAGTCTTATGTCTGTGGTGGGCAAATTATTGGAGAGGATTCTGAGAGATAGTATTTATGATTATTTGGAAAAGCACAGTTTGATTAGAAATAGTCGGCATGGCTTTGTGAGGGGCAGGTCATGCCTTACAAGCCTTATTGAATTCTTTGAGGATGTGACAAAACACATTGATGAAGGTAGAGCAGTGGATGTGGTGTATATAGATTTTAGCAAGGCATTCGATAAAGTTCCATTTGGTAGGGTCATTCAGAAAGTAAAGAGGCATGGGATTCAGGGAAATTTGGCAGTCTGAATACAAAATTGGCTGTCCAATAGAAGACAGAGAGTGATAGTAGATGGAAAGTATTTAGCCTGGAGCTCGGTGACCGGTGGTGTTCCGCAGGGATCTGTTCTAGGATCTCTGCTCTTTGTGATCTTTATAAAGGATTTGGATGAGGAAGTGGAAGGGTGGGTTAGTAAGTTTGCCGATGACATGAAGGTTGGTGGAGTTGTGGATAGCGTGGAGGGCTGTTGTAGGTTGCAACGGGACATTGATAGGATGCAGAGCTGGGCAAAGAAGTGGCAGATGGAATTCAATGCAGAAAAGTGTAAAGTGATTCATTTTGGAAGGTCAAATTTGAATGCAGAATACAGGGTTAATGGCAGGATTCTCGGCAGTTTGGAGGAACAGAGAAATCTTGGGGTCCACGTCCATAGATCCCTCAAAGTTGCTACCCAAGTTGATAGGGTTATAAGTAAGGCGTATAGTGTGTTGGCTTTCATTGGCAGGGGAATTGAGTTTAAGAGCCGCGAGGTTATGCTGCAGCTCTATAAAACTCTGGTTAGACCACACTTGAAATATTGTGTTCAGTTCTGGTCACCTCATTACAGGAAAGATGTGGAAGCTTTAGAGAGGGTGCAGAGGAGATTTACCAGGATGCTGCCTGGACTGGAGGGCAGGTCTTATGAGGAAAGGTTGAGGGAGCTAGGGCTT